GTATCTAGTATATAATATGTAGATCTATCGATTACCGCGGCAATGAAGTAGCTAATGCATTATTCTAATGCATTAGAGCGCCATAGAGTCGTCTTGCTCGCACTTGTGTAAAACGCTATAGCGCTGTCAAATCTTTAATGAAGTCTCTAATTAATGCGGCAGTGTCATCCCACTATAATACCGGAATAAAGAAGACGATTAAGAAGAAATTCAAATCTTTGCCATACATTGGTTCCAACACGTACCAGGAGCGATATATGTATTTGTGGCCCCTTTTTAAATAACAAGTGCTATTTCATTAAAAAATAACAAATCTAAAAGATAATCTTTTACAGATACAAGCCATGTTAAGATGAAAACGCAACTAAACAGAACCTACAAAATACTTGGAGAATACCTAAACGTATTATCTGTGAAATCTATTTTCAAACATGAATAGTCGATTTGAAGCCACCTCAAAAGCTCGCTTGCTCTATCAGATAAGCTCATCACATATATATACAGAGTAGCTACTGCGATCTGCTGTTAGTCGTTGCTAGACCTCGTCGAGTAACAATGAAGCTATTGGCTGTGATCGCGTTGGTGTTCTGCGCTTTGAGCGCTAAACCTCTGGGGACGGAGAGTGCCAAGATCTTGGCTACCTTTCCGTTTTCAGGGCGCTCTCAGTACATTTTTTTGGAAACCTATTTAAAAGCCTTGGCCGCCAAGGGCCACCAGGTAACAGTGATCAATGCCTTCAGAAATAAGGCAACTCCGAACATGAGGTTCATCGAGGCTATGAAGGGTCACGAATTCGCAGACGGTTAGTTTGATATTTAAACTTTGACGTTTTGATATACCATTATTTTCTAAACTTTAGTAATGTTGGGTTTGCTCAATGAACCGTTCTTGTGGCAGCAACTTAAGGCAATGGACTATATTGTGGCTAAATTCACCGAGATAACACTGGAAGATGATGGTGTCAAGCAACTGCTGAACTCCGGAGAAACCTTTGATCTGGTGTTGGCAGAGATGTTTCAAATGGAGCCGCTGTATGCATTTGCCCAGCATTTCAATGCCACCCTGGCTGGATTCTCTAGTTTTGGAACAGACAACCACGTCGATGGGGTCATGGGAAACATATCTCCCATGTCTACGAAACTGTGGTTGAGGAAGTTTACCGGCATTGGGTTCACTTGCCAGCTATGGAAAAGATGTTCAAAAAGTACTTCCCAAACTCCAAGAAAACCATGACTGAAGTCTTGGACAGTTTTTCGTTCATACTGCTGGGCCAGCACTTCTCCCTGAGCCATCCGCGGCCCTATTTGCCCAACATGATCGAGGTCGGAGGAGTTCACATTTCCCACAACCCGAAGCCCCTGCCCGAGGACATAAAACAGTTCATTGAGGGCTCCCCCGAGGGTGTCATCTACTTCTCCATGGGATCCAATGTGAAGAGCAAGGATCTTCCCCAGGAAACTCAGGATACTCTGCTGAAAACCTTTGCGAAACTGAAGCAACGCGTTCTGTGGAAATTCGAGGATGACGAGATGCAGGGAAAGCCGGCGAATGTTCTGATCAAGAAGTGGAATCCCCAACCGGATATCCTGGCCCATCCGAATGTGAAGATGTTCATTACCCATGGAGGGCTACTGAGCTCCACAGAGAGTGTATACTTTGGCAAACCGGTGTTGGGATTGCCATGCTTCTACGACCAGCATATGAACGTGCAGCGTGCCCAGCGAATGGGATTTGGATTGGGACTAGATCTCAATAACCTGAAGCAAGAGGAATTGGAAAAGGCCATCAAAACACTGCTCACGGATCCTAGCTACACCAAAGCATCAGCCTCCATTTCGGAGTTGTATCGGGATCAACCGGAGCCAGCTCTCGATCGAGCAATCTGGTGGACGGAGTATGTTCTTAGGCACAAGGGTGCTCCGCACCTGCGAGCAACATCCCGAGATCTCACCTTCATTCAGCTTCACAGCCTGGACACCTTGGCTGTGCTTTTCGGTGTGCCTCTGCTATTTGCACTCGTCCTCCTGAAGTTAACTTGTAAATTACTACGCGGTAAAAGCCAGAAGTGCCCGCATGCTGATAAGCTCAAGAAGCAATAGAGTCTTTGTCTATAAGGCATGTTTGTTGTTTACAATTCTGATTAATCTTATCGTATACGAATGTTGATTTAATATATTTAATCAATCAGATGTTTGTTTGTTTGTGACGTGTTTGGAACAAATAGTTGGAGAACCCAGCTCCCACTGGAAATTTAAATACTGATTAGCTATCAAAATCGGCTTGATTGTATTTGGCAGCAGGGTTTCTCTTACACCAAGGCAGTGTTGCTCTTTCGAAAGCTGATTTTTGTTTGTAAAGTGGAACCTCACATTATTAAGCAGTTGACTGTCTAATCACTTTTTTGTATTGTTACAATTTGTTTATTTATACTGTTACATGATAAGATACAAGATAAAACTAAACAGATAACATATGATCGCAGTAATGCTGCATTTTAATAATCTGTATCTGGGCCGTTTTGCACTGAATTTACCATAACCCCTTAAAGATTAACCGAGTATAAAAGAAATAAGTGAATGCATTGTTTTAGTTTAATTTTCCCTTTTTTTACGACCGAAAAATATTTAATTTTTATTTTAAAGTTATCTTACCTTAGGTATTTTGTTACGAATTTTCTCTCGTAATAATAGAAAATATATTATATGGGCTTCAAGCGAACTAGAGTTCCAGTTGGCTTGGTTTGTCCAGACGCAGCATTAGTAATTTTATTCCCAGATCTGCTAGAAAGGACAAATATGACAGGAGCACTCTTTATTGGAATCACAGAAATCCGCATGCGCTCCATTACTCAGGTTTCAGGTAACTTTGTTCGTGCTTGATAAATACATGTGGGCTTCACTGCGATCCCCATTACGGTTTTTTTTTTTGTATATCCTAAGCTAAGCTAATCAGTTTGTACTAATAATTTACTTAGCAACCTACTACTTACTACTCTTTGTCAACCTTTGCCTACTGCTAGGCTAATAGTAAAATTGCTGACTTCGCAGCCCGTACTACTCATAACTACAGCTATACTAAAATGCTTTAAATATCATTAAATATTTTCCACCTTCTATTAAATGGAATCACATTCAACCCGATAAAAAGCAGTGACGTAAATAATGAATATTTTTATTTTTAAAATATAACGAGAAAGAAAGCTAACTACGGCACGCCCCTGCAGTTTCTAATAAGATCTTTCTGAATCGATTATGTAAATCTGTTTAAATTAAAAAAAAAAGAAACAGGTGATATATACAAAATATTTATATTTATAAATAGCACATAACAATTTGTTGTATACACTACAAGAAATATTTCACGAGACTTAAATAAAAAGACTGGATATTAATTTACGATTAATACTGAGCGTTGCTTTGTAGCCTTTAAGCAAGAATTTAAAATAATATTGCTAAAAAGTTTAATACGGAACAGTTGAGATTTATTTTTATTTTAAATATTTTATTTTTCCACTTAAATCTAATGATTATCTCTGAAGATTTGATTATCCTATAAGATAAACAGATATTTTGTGAACATTGATTCTGTAATTGCTACCGAGACATATGAAGTTGTCAAGTATTTATTACACATTAACTTATTTTATTTTTATACCCTTGCAGGGTATTATAATTTCAGTCAGAAGTTTGCAACGCAGTGAAGGAGACGTTTCCGACCCTATAAAGTATATATATTCTTGATCAGCATCAACAGCCGAGTCGATCTAGCCATGTCCGTCTGTCCGTCTGTCCGTCTGTCCGTCTGTCTGTCTGTCTGTTTCTACGCAAACTAGTCCCTCAGTTTTAAAGCTATCTGAATGAAACATTGCATATAGTCTTCTATATACTCTCACTGCTATATATGTCGGAACGGGCCGGATCGGACGACTGTATCATATAGCTGCCATACAAATGTTCGATATATTTGTAGAAAAAAAATTATAACTTTGCTGTTTTTCAACATTTTTGCACAATTTTTTAGATATGGCCATTCTATATTATTATAGAATTTTGGTAAAAATTTTATGAAAATCGGACGACTATATGATATAGCTGCCATAGGAACGATCGAGAAATAAATAGGAAAAAAATTATAGCTTCGTTGTTTTCCAACGTATGTTTATCTACTCTGAGATATAAGCTTTTTTTATTATTCTAGAATTATGGTATAAATTTCATAAAAATCGAACAACTATATCATATAGCTGCCATAGAAGCGATCGGTAGATGTAGAGAAAATGTAAAGCTGGGAATGTAAAACTGTAACCGTCAAACTGTAAACATAATAAGTCTAGGTAAAATGTAATAAAACTCTGTTTTGTGTGTGTTTTAAGCATTTAAATTTATAATATAAATATCAAAACCAATCTGCAAGGGTATACAAACTTCGGTGTGCCGAAGTTAGCTTCCTTTCTTGTTAGTTATTTGTATTTAGGAAAAATAAGAAGGACATTTTCCTCAATCTTTATTATTTAATTTTTTTTTAATCTTCTTAAAATATAATTTTTGTTTTGTTACGTAAATATCACCTGATCTTGGAATAAGTCCGAAATCGAAGTACACATTTTTTCAAAAACGCTGCTTCCATCACGTACGAGGAGCGTATGATCAAAGCCCATTTTGTAATATTTCAAACGAAATGTGAAATAGTTTCCTGACCGCTCTAGGAAGTGCTATTTCATCATACAAAACAAACGTGAAGGAGGATCTATAAAGATACGAGCATTGATCGGGTGATATAGCAACTAAACAACAGCTAGAACCTGGACTACCCTAACTTGGGGAACCCGCTCTAAAAGTGCCGACTCTTTCCTATGGGTATCAGCGGTGAGAACGCAGAAATTTATTTCATTCATAAGCATGAATAGTCGATTTTGTAAGCTTCCTCGGACTATCAGTAAAAGCTCTTCCCATATGTTCATATATAAAGATAATTCAGCGATCCGCTCAGTTAGTCGTTGCTAGAGACTCGTCGAGTAACAATGAAGCTATTGGCTCTGATCGCGTTGGTGTTCTGCGCTTTGAGCGCCAAACCTCTGGAAACGGAGAGTGCCAAGATCTTGGCTACCTTTCCGTTTCCGGGTCGCTCTCAGTACATCTTTATGGAGACCTATTTAAAAGCCTTGGCCGCCAAGGGCCACCAGGTGACAGTGATTAATGCCTTTAAGAATACGGCAACTCCGAACATGAGGTTCATCGAGGCCGTGAAGGTTCACGAATTCTCTGACGGTGAGTTTGTTATCATTGTAACGATAAGCAATACAATATAATAATTACATTTGAAATTTACAAATAGAAATGATGGGCCTGCTAAATGAACCATTCTTGTGGGGCCAACTAAATGCAATGGATTTTGTTTTGGCGAAAATTACGGAGATAACAATGGAAGACGATGGTGTCAAGAAGTTGATAAACTCTGGAGAAACCTTTGATCTGGTGCTAGCTGAGATGATCCAAATGGAACCACTGTATGCATTTGCCCAGCATTTCAATGCTACCCTGGCCGGATTCTCCAGTTTTGGAACAGATAACCGCATTGATGCGGCCGTCGGCAACATATCTCCCATGTCCTACAACCCACTGGTCACCTCTCCCCGCACCAATCGGATGACCTTCACGGAACGCTTGTCCAATGCGTACGAAAACCTGGTGGAGGAGTTCCATCGGCATTGGGTGCATCTGCCCACTATGGAGAAAATGTTCAAAAAGCACTTCCCTAACTCCAAGAAAACCATGGCTGAAGTCATGGATAGTTTTTCGTTCGTGCTCTTGGGCCAGCACTTCTCCCTGAGCCATCCGCGACCTTATTTGCCTAACATGATCGAGGTCGGAGGACTGCACATCTCCCACAAACCAAAGCCCCTGCCCGAGGACATAAAACAGTTCATCGAGGGCTCCCCCGAGGGTGTCATCTACTTTTCCATGGGATCCAATGTGAAGAGCAAGGATCTTCCCCAGGAAACTCGGGATACTCTGCTGAAAACCTTTGCGAAACTGAAACAACGCGTTCTGTGGAAATTCGAGGATGACGAGATGCAGGGAAAGCCGGCGAATGTTCTGATCAAGAAGTGGTATCCCCAACCGGATATCCTGGCCCATCCGAATGTGAAGATGTTCATTACCCATGGAGGGCTACTGAGCTCCACAGAGAGTGTTTACTTTGGCAAACCGGTGTTGGGATTGCCATGCTTCTACGACCAGCATATGAACGTGCAGCGTGCCCAGCGAATGGGATTTGGATTGGGACTAGATCTCAATAACCTGAAGCAAGAGGAATTGGAAAAGGCCATCAAAACACTGCTCACGGATCCTAGCTACACCAAAGCATCAGCCTCCATTTCGGAGTTGTATCGGGATCAACCGGAGCCAGCTCTCGATCGAGCAATCTGGTGGACGGAGTATGTTCTTAGGCACAAGGGTGCTCCGCACCTGCGAGCAACATCCCGGGATCTCACCTTCATTCAACTTCACAGCCTGGACACCTTGGCTGTCCTATTCGGAGTGCCTCTGCTAGTTTCACTCGTCCTCCTGAAGTTAACTTGTAAATTACTACGCGGCAAAAGCCAGAAGTGCCCGCATGCTGATAAGCTTAAGAAGCATTAGGGTCTTTATGTATAAATATTTGTACATATATATATTTGTTTACAATTCGAAGTGCCTAGTGTGTTGTTAATCTTATCGTATACGAATGTTGAAATTATATTTTTTATTGGTCAAAACTTGTTTATTTGTGACGTACATAAGGAAATAGCTGGGAAACACCGCTCTCGCTTGACATTAATATTTTTCTTCTGATAACGTAATGTTTCTCTTATGTAAACAAAATTTGTTTATACAGTGGGACAAGCACACTCTAAATCCGCTTTGGCTGTAAGGTAATTTAATTTTTAAAACAATTATGAATATTTCAAAAGCATTTTAAATTTTGTTGAAAATTATAAAAGTGTTAAAATTGAAATTTTATTTTGCCCCTTTAATTTATTAATGAGTTTAGTATAAAATGTTATGGCAAAGACTCAAAAGAGGGATTTTATCTGGTGTATGAATCCGAATGGCACGTTCATATATGGAAGATATGTTTCGTTTCTCCCTAATAAATCTGGTATTATATAATATATAGCTGTTTACTGATATTAAACAATATATAAATTAAAAATTTCAATCGGCTAACGCTACCCAAAGCTTAAGTACATAACTACTATGTAGATATATTATTTCTTATTATTTGATTAGTGAGAATTCACCAGCTGTGTTTTTCGCTTATTAATCTAAATCATAATATAAATTTTTGTTTCTGAAGGGTGTCAAGAGAATATTTAAAATATTAATGGAATTTACTATTAACAAGAATGAAAGCTAACTTCGGCACGCCGAAGTTTGTATACCCTTGCAGATTGGTTTTGATGTTTATATTATAGATTTAAATGCTGAAAACACTTGCAAAACAGAGTTTCATTACATTTTACCTATACTTATTATGTTTACAGTTTGACAGTTACAGTTTTACATTCCCAGCTTTACATATTTTATACATTTACCGATCGCTTCTATGGCAGCTATAAGATATAGTTGTCCGATTTTTATGAAATTTATACCAAAATTCTATAATAATAAAGAAAGCTTACATCTCAGAGTAGAAAACAATACGTTGAAAAACAACGAAGCTATAATTTTATTCCTATTAATTTCCCGATCGTTTCTATGGCAGCTATAAGATATAGTCGTCCGATTTTCGTAAAATTTTACCAAAATTTAGAAATAATATAAAATGGCCATATCTAAAAAATTATGCAAAAATGTTGAAAAACAGTAAAGTTATAATTATTTTTCTAAAAATTTATCGAACATTTGTATGGCAGCTATATGATATAGTCGTCCGATCCGGCCCGTTCCGATATATATAGCAGTTAGAGCATATAGAAGACTATATGCAAAGTTTCATTCAGATAGCTTTAAAACTGAGGGACTAGTTTGCGTAGAAACGGACAGACGGACAGAAGGACAGACGGACATGGCTAGATCGCCTCGGCTGTTGATGCTGATCAAGAATATATATACTTTATAGGGTCGGAAACGTCTCCTTCACTCCGTTGCAAACTTCTGACTGAACTTATAATACCCTGCAAGGGTATAAAAATACCTGAGGTAAAGTTGTATAATAATGTAGAAATTCTCTCGTTGCTTCCATCTAAGTAAGTTGTTGCAGTGTGCCTTACATATTTGTTGTATTATATAAGTATTTATACTAATTATAGGTTTGCATACAAATTATTTTTAGTTACATATATAGGGTAAGGTGGGGTAAAACCGACAGTGTGGGTAAACCCGACCTCCCTCTGTTTTCGAAAATCGGAAGCACTACGCAAACTAATATTATGATGGAAAATGGTGGTATGACAGCATATTATTAGTCAACATTGAGATGGTCAAACGACAACAAGTTTGTTTTCACAATTTTGACTTTCATTTTTGTGCATAATTAACTGCAGGATATTTCTTTTTGTCAAAGTTATCGCATGAAAAGGTAAGTGGATTTAGATTCTTTGAATAAAGTCCTACAAAGTGCACAAGTTTAATTAATTTTTATACCCTTGCAGGGTATTATAATTTCAGTCAGAAGTTTGCAACGCAGTGAAGCAGACGTTTCCGACCCTATAAAGTATATATATTCTTGATCAGCATTAACAGCCGAGTCGATCTAGCCATGTCCGTCTGTCCGTCTGTCCGTTTCTACGCAAACTAGTCCCTCAGTTTTAAAGCTATGTGAATGAAACTTTGCACATAGTCTTCTATATACTCTCACTGCTATATATGTCGGAACGGGCCGGATCGGACGACTATATCATTAAGCTGCCATACAAATGTTCGATAAATTTTTAGAAAAAAAATTATAAATTAGCTGTTTTTCAACACTTTTGCATAATTTTTGAGATATGGCCATTTTATATTATTTCAGAATTTTGGTAAAAATTTGATGAAAATCGGACGACTATATGATATAGCTGCCATAGGAACGATCAGGAAATTAATAGGAAAAAAAATTATAGCTTCGTTGTCTTTCAACGTATTTTGATCTACTCTGAGATATAAGCTTTTTTTATTATTCTAGAATTTTGGTATAAATTTCATGAAAATCGGACAACTATATCTTATAGCTGCCATAGAAGCGATCGGTAAATGTATAACATATGTAAAGCTGGGAATGCAAAACTGTAACTGTCAAACTGTAAACATAATAAGTATAGGTAAAATGTAATGAAACTCTGTTTTGTGAGTGTTTTCAGCATTTAAGTCTATAATATAAACATCAAAACCAATCTGCAAGGGTATACAAACTTCGGCGTGCCGAAGTTAGCTTCCGTTCTTGTTTTAATTCTATTATCTTTTATTACCATTATATAACATAACATTGATTGATTTATCATTGCAAAACCTATATTTAGGTTATATCTGTACTAAATCAACCAATATATAAAGTTGCGCCAAATTCTAACCTTTAATTTGGTATATATAATAACTTGATCCGATGTAAAATAAGCATTTTATAGCCAAAACCATTTACTAGGTCGGCTTTACCCCACCTTACCCTACGTTTTGCAAATGCAGGCACACCCCAATAAAGCTAGCTCTCTCATTGTCTCAAATTCACCCACACCTACACGTCGTATGCGCGATATTAATCAAATTGGCATTGAAAATTGTTTTTGCCGCTGTTCACCCGTATCTTTAACAGCTACATACATATACGTATGTATTAACACCTTCTCTCGTAGCTTGATTAAATGAAAGGCATTTAAGTATATTTATTTAATGAAAACCCGTCGCCGTAACCGCCTTCGGTGCCCTAGCCCAAAGCTACGCCCACTCCCAAGAACTTTGGGCAAAGTACACAAAAATTACCGAGTTAAAAATATCGCAGCAGAAAAAAAAACTTTATCTTAATTGCGGGTTACTTTTTTTAACTGGGCTGTAAGCTACCTGGCCGGAATTTTGGGCCAAGTGGGCGGCGGAGGGACAGGAACTCCGGTGAAAAAAGTGAACCCAAATTTGTGTCCGTTGCTAGCACCAGGACACGCCCTAAATCACTGGCTTTTTATCAACTTCAACTTGAAACGAAATTCAAATGTTTCGCTCGTTTTTCTCCACCTGCGAATGCGACTGAGGCTGACTCGGCTCCGGCTGTTGTCCCTAACAACAGGAAAGGAGGGTGGGAAAGTGGGAAAGACGGGAAAACAGGAGAGAAAAAAATCATATATATGTACACACTGAGAACAAACTTGACCAGTATTTATATCTATTGAATTTTATTTCTTATATGAATGGATACATCTCCGATCCCATCAATTGATCAGCATCAATTCGATTCGATTTAGCCATGTTCGTCTGTACTAATACCTAGTTATACTTACCTGGTTATCCTTCTCAGGAATACTTCTTTATTCGATATTCCCTCTACCTTGTCTACAAAGTATTTTCCAAGCTTTTAATATAATTTTTTGTGCAAGAACATTTTTCCACGTGCATTCAACACACACGCAAGAAGGAATCCTGTCCCTGGCCACTTTGCACTAAGTACTCACACAAAATTCCGTTTGAAGTTTTTGGGTGCCGGTGCCTGGGTTTCGGCCATTGCCGCACCTGTACAGTGAGCACCCTGCCGTCGGCAGTCACCTCTTCTATACACGGTTACACGTGCACGGTCAACGGGCCATCGCTGCTCGGCTTGTAAATTGTATCCGTTTCAGGCACATAAATTGTTGTCAACTTCCGTTGGCTGCGACAACGTCGCCGCCACTGACCACTTCTGTGTCCAGCGATTCACCTGCTCCACTCCGCCGGTCTCCGCCACTGACCCCCTTTTCCCGGAACTAGTTGCACCGTAGCAGCGTATGGCCAGCTTTGACTTGAGAGCATACGCCAGTGTCATGGCGTTTGTCTTTCTCCCTTATTTTCAGGGTTTCATCGGTTGGAGTATTAATCACAATTGTGATTTTTGGTATTTAAAAGTATTGAGTTTATTAAATAATATAAAATTGATGTCAGATTCAAGTTAATTTGACTGGGAAGTGGATTCTTATTAAGGTTATAGTACTCCAATTTCGAAATGTTTTTGAAAAGGTCATTAGCTTTATTTTGCTTTCAAATTTCTTTGTGCTTAGCTAAATATTTCGTAAAATTTGTTACATATTTAATTATTAGGCAGTATTTCAGAGTTTATATAATATAGTTTCGTAAAGGATTATAATAAAACTAAAATAACTACTAGACCCATAAGAGTATTTATAAGATCGGATTCCTTTGCATAACTTTTCTTCAGGTTGTTTTTTGCGATGGTTCAGCTTGGGCCAACTTTTGCTGTCCATGTTTTTTGCCTTGCTTTGCCCTCGTTGGGTTTTTTTTTTCGCTCTTTGCTGCTACTCGATGCAGCTTCCAACTCCAACGTAATTGAATTTTTAATCTCGTTTATAGTCAAGTGATCTCTGGCATACACTACCGGTGTACAACTGCGCATATTTTACGTGCCCGGTGCTTTGGTGTTGGCCATTCGCCGCTCGCTAGCTGCCTTCTGCTAACTACCGCCTTGTCCTGTTCCTGTGCCCACTCCACCGGCTCTGGCTCCTGTTCCAGCTCCTAAGCTACCTCGCTGAATAACAGGGGTCAAATACACACGGCAAATAAAGTTAAGAGCCCGCCCGCCTGTCGGGGACATTGCCTCATAATGAGAACCCGTCGTTATGCTAAATAGTTGGGCCAAAAAATGGCAACTTTTTCGACCCAGAACCACCCCAGACCCGTCTCACTTGCGGGTTAATATGCACACCGAATTGCATATTCAACTTTTCGGGAACGTAATAAAGTATATTTAAAACAATGCTCTGTCTGCGGGCCAGGCGACACAAAAGGACCCGGCATGTGAGCTATACAATGGCCCTGAAAAACTCTGCTTAAATAGAGTTGGGAGACGAAGATCTTACCCAGCAGTGGAAGCTAAACCTGCTCTTCGGAGAGTTAAACAAGCTGGTTTTGGGAGCAGGGTTTTCGGTGTAATCATGCCACGTCAAAGGCGAGCGACGTGTGCATCATTAACTGGCTTACGTGACGACTGCCTCGTTCA